GAGGGGGAGGGGGCCCACGACCTAACGAGGCCGCCGATATATGTAGGCTCGCTCTACACGGAGCTTTCGCTGCCCATCTGCAATTAAAATTCGGCGCGGCGCGGGAGTGTCCGGGGGGGTGGGCGGCCGGCGGCAGCGCGGGGTGCGCGGGGTGCGTCCCGTCCGGCCGCGTCCGGCCTCGCGCATGGAGCGCCGCCGCGCGGGTGGTGGGTGGTGGGGCCGGACATGATAACGAGCACGAGGCTGCAGCCGGGCGCGGGATGCATACACACACTACTTATGCGCGGGATTACGAACTTGCGCCGCGTCACAACCAGGGCGTCCAGGCTATAGACGAAAGTTGTGCTTGCTATATGAACAGAAACATAAAGTGGAAGTGTCTTCTTTTTCATCTCTAAGAAACGTTTTGTACTTATAAGCCGTGCTGTTTTGTTTATAAATGTAAACGTTCACTCCAAATGCTTAATGTGCGGTAAATGGAAGCGCACGAGGAAAAAGCGGAAAGAGAAGAGTGCGTCGGGAAGAGGCCTCGTTGCTTGAGGAAGCAGCAAACATAAGCAACTTTCGCTCAATGGAATATAGTGTAGTGTAATATACCAGGACGGTCCGAGGAGGCGCCCGCAAGTTGGCCGCAGACACGTTAAGGGTTCCGGAGGAAAGCAGCATGGGGAGGAGGGAGGGGAGAGGCGGAGGCGAGAGAAGGGCCGCACGGGGGGGCGGTGCGCGCGAAAGTCTTTAAAATAATACCGCCTCGCCGCCCCCGGCCCGCGGTTAAATGTTTCAGTGCGACGGCCCCGCCCCGGCCTTGTCAGCCTGATGAGCCCTTTGTTAACGAGCCAGACAAGTTTGGGATGCAAAACAGTGCAAGGGGGGGACAAGGAGAGGGAGACGGGGGGAGATAGGGTGGAGAGGCTGGGCAAGCGAGCCCCAATCAATCTCTAATTACTCCTCAAGAGATGCGGGAGGAGAGGGAGCCCCGGGCAGCAGCCGCGCGAAGACGATGGGAAAGTTTTGGGACCACCTAAGCAATAATCACCGCCACGTCTGAGTGAGGCGATGGGGGGAGGGGGGAGGGAGGGGGCTGACAGCCGAGATGCCGTGTGCTGCGGGGCCATCGAAATTCCATAGTCAGAAGAATCGAGGATGGAGGGAGATGGGAGGGGGGGAGGGGGGCAACGACCTTTCTACAAGATTGGGGAACCGAGGAGACACGTCGGAGTGAGAGTGCGAGGAAGGGGGTAAGGGGGCTGCTGCTAGCCGGTATGTGCCTTGAGCCCGGCCCACCCCCGCCGCCACCAGACCCGCCACCACCGACATTGGTATTATTTGCCCCCACGCCCGAGCCTTCCTGGAAGCGATCCAAACAACCGTTTCTAAAATCGATGAAAGCTCCAATGGATAGGCGGATGAATAAATGGGCCTGGCGCGGCGGGAG